TTTAAAAATTAAAATTGTCTTCCGAGTGAGATTTTGGGATGCGGATAAGTTTAGAAAAATGTGTATTGTTACTCTCCATTCTTGTTAAACTCAAATTAGATTTTTTTTAAAAAATTCTTAAATGTGGGATTATTTGTTGATTGACGTAAAATTTCTAAGGAATACTAAAAAAATGATTAGTGCTTTAAACTTAAAATGAACGATTTTGCGTTTTAAAACATCACTGTGTAAATTGGAGCGGCACTCACGCCTTTAAACTTTACCATAGAGATTTGCCAAAGTAATGCACAAATTGCATAAAACGTACTGCAAACTACCGAATGCAATTTCTACTTAATAAAAGTTCCGCTTAGAAAATTATATCATTTTACCAACAATAGTTCGATGCAGGTAAATTAATTAATATTTTTTATGCCAAAATCTTGTTAACTAGCTCTTAATGCTTCAGTGAATAGCTAACAAATTTAATAATCATTTATTTATAAATATATTCTGCCACCCAATAGTATGAAAAAATAATTTAAAGCTTGTGTTTATTGCCAGTGAACTTAGCGAAAAAAAAACTCGAAAGCAATTTTGCTTTCGAAAACCCCAAAAATATGGAAATAATTCAATTACTTAATATATAGAAATTAAATACATTGATCGATAAAGTGAAGCAATATTAATTAACAGGCACATCTCTTACTAACTATCTAGAAAAAGGAAAATTATTTGAAGGCTAGGGTCAGCCTGCATTCACAAACACACATCTACAACCTGCCTACCCACTTCCAAACTAAAATACTTCATGAGAGCATTTTAAACGTGTTTTACAATGAGGGTAGTGTTCAAGGGCATTTCACACGTGATTGGCTCGCACACCTACCACAGATTTTTTTCTTCCTTATTTTGTTGCACGGCGGGTTTAATGCGCCTGGCGAATCTATAGTAACTAATAAATTTACGGTGCTTCTAAGTGTTTCAACTTACCTATATTATATCACCATCTTACTTTTAAATAGACTTTATATTTTCCATATTATATATACCACTTTCTATCTACATTATATTACTTTACGGTCTGTAATATATAAGTCTTCAGAGAATTACAACCCGCTAAGTCAACATAAAACAAAAATTTCAACAGCGCATATTATTTGAAACAAAAATGCAAATGTTTTAAAGTCTTCTGGGCCGCTCTAAACGGAGCCACCGTAATGGATCCAAGAACACAAAATGCGGGGACATATGTGTACCAAGTAACACTTGTAAACGCTTTCCTCTTTCAGTACTGCTTAAATTTGTTCTTAACAAATATAAGATGTATATATTAGTTTACTTTGTATAACAAATTGTGCAATTTAATGTTATTAACCTTCTATTTGCACTAAAACAGGATAAATATAGTTAAAGCGGTTATAATATGTGTTTCAGTACTGATTGTTAAAGATAATTAAAAAAAAAATTTATCTATGTAAGTAGTTGCATGTATTTACAAAACTATATCTTTTTTAAAAACATTTAAAAAAAATTTTTTCTGAGAAATAAGTAATTACTAATTTTTAATTAGATTTGTTGAAAGTTCTTTTGTTATAAAAAAAGAAAATTTGCTATAAATTTTAAGAATAAACGTAATAAATTTAAAAAACAGGTCAAAATACAAGAGAGTTATAATAAAGTATAACTTAAGTAAAACAATTACAAGAAATAATTAGTATTTATTATACGTACTCGTCCAATATACCTATTAGTTGAACTTTAACTTATACCTTCGTAACCAATTACCCTTTACCATTATATATAAAGATATCGCGTTGATATAATAAGTAAAAAAAAATCACTTGTTAGACAAAGAAAATAAAGCAATTTATTGAAAGTAACTTTCCATTTTTTATATTACTCTTACTTGCTAGCGCGCATGCAATGCATTAATTGTAATGAGCCCTAAATGCAAAGACTGCTAAGTGTCCAAAAAGTTGGCGGCCATTAAAAGATCTAAAGCAATATCTGACTCAATAGGAAATTCAGGAATTTCTGTGGGACTATCGGTGTATCTGACTTTGTAGTAAAAATAACAGCAAACCTTTTCCAATATTTTAGAGGATATTTCCCTAAAGTTGATGGCATTTGTTTCAGTTTCAGAAAAATTCCCTTATAAATTTATTTATAAAGTTAGTTCCCTTTACAAGAAAACTGTAAGCTGCTTTTAATTAATACTACTAAGTAAAATTATAAAAAAACTCATGTTTTTAAAAAAATACGATAACACACCAGGTCCACTTAGTATAGCTTTGATAGTGCCGGAGACAATAGCACATTTTTTTTCAATATAAAAAACATGACCATCCAAACAGCAAAGTCGCACATACTCTGTCTGCTCCTCAAACATAATTAAAACTAAATGTTTTTCTCAAAGATAGAAAATAATTGATCCATATGACTGGACATTGTTGCCTTGTATATAACAACTATTTGACCTATAACAATAGAAGTTTATCGTTTTCTGCTGTTTTGAGAGGTTGTTAGATGCTACATACCATCCTTAATATAACAGTTTTTTATTAACAACAGCGCCTATCATAAAAAATTATTTTTGCCCTATACTTTGTGACAACTATATTTATTCTGTTCGGTCACCATTCTTGTTTTTATTATAAAACCTTGTTAATAATTTATAATTATTAACATGAAAGTAAACATGGGAGCTTAGAATAAATGTAATTTAAAGAAATAATTCTTTTCGTTAGCCATTGAAAATTAAATTTTTACTAAGTTGCACTTGAGAAGTCTCAACGTAGCCGCTTTTATGTACAATTTCAAGGTTTTTGTGCCTAAATAAGTAATATAATATTTGGTCACGTTCAAAAATATTAAAATTTAGAACCTGGAATATAGGATATTTATAGCCTATATGGTTAAATACAAACAAGTTTCATAGTGATCTCCAAGAAGCCATAAATACTTTTTTTTAATTATAGTATATAATTGTTTAAAATAAAAAATAAATTGTAAAACGTTACGCTAGTAGGATTTTTTTTTCTTAAATTAAAGAATTGACAGTGAAAAGCTTAAATAATTGAAAAACCAAAATGTATGTTTTAAAATTAGTAAAAGGTCTCGTGGCGATTAATTTGATTTCTATATATTAAAGATGAAAATTAAGCACACTATCACTGAAAGAAGTTGAAGTATTGGTTAACAGTTTGTGTTAAAACGCTATGGAGAACTGCAATAGCATGGTCACCACCCAAACTGTAAATATCGAATTTATTATTGCTTTAGTAGGTTTCATATATAACAAACAATTTTAATTGTGCTATTAGCCAACAACTTACTATTGAGGAGGCGAGCATTTAATTATTAATAGTCTTTTTCTAGCTTTTGAATTTTTAAGCTTTGATTTGGGATAACATCTATAATTTTAAATTTTGTAACAAAAAACCAAATTGCGTGCCATTCCGTAGCTGTCGACAAACGGTTACTTAGTACAGTTTGCTGTTTGTGTATGGCGATGACCTCGCATTGAAGGACGGTTCACAGAGACTAACTGAAGGCTCGATGTAAGACAGCTTCTGCAAGCTATGTTAGGACTCGAAACCTTAATAAATAGTTTCCTTCCCCCATAAGTTGGGCGTCCACTTTTTGGCGTGGTCTGAAATCAACAAGCTATTCGCTTTCCGAAGGCAATCGATGTGCTTTACAAACTGCCAGTTTTTTCTTAACTGAAAAACATAGTGGAGTTACTTGTCCCCATACGGACAGGTATCAATTTTCTGAGTCCCTTAAATAAGACACTTTTTCTGTCTGGTATTACCGTACATCACTGTGGCCAATTTCGAAAGCGTCGTTATCATGGTCCACATAACCCGCTGACGTCACTCAGAGCGGTGTTACCGCCTGCCAACCGTATGTTTACGGTGCCCTTGAAGCTCAATAGGAAAAACTGATGGGGATATCACTACCGCCAATGAAGCTGAGGTTAAAAATGTCGGAAACAAGCTACAAGGCCGTGCCTTTGACTGGCAAGTCATCAAATAAAAAAGGCAAATATCGTCAACTGCTTTCATTTCCACGCATGTCAGCGATAGCCCTAGTCTTTACATGGCCATCTGGTTCTTTTAGGGTATCCTGTCACGTGGTATGTTATAGCTTTTGATATTATTTAGTTGCTTAGTTTACCTTCTCTAGCTTTAACAGCTGAAGTACGCATAGGTTTACCTTTTCGCAATGTCAGGTGAAAGTGCACGTCCTACAAGCTCGCTTTCCTCCCATATACTAGGCTTAAAGGTCTTTAACATTGAATTCTTTTGGCTTATGTAAGGATCGTCTTGGAGGAAGCTTTACAGTGAATAATATTATTTATAGTTTATGAAGAAAAGCCAACTTCGGTTTGAAGAAAATGAAGTTATTGCAAGAAAAAGGAATACTTCAGAGGAGTTTTGGTACCTTCTTGGAGCTGAGAAGCTTTCTGAAGGGTGCTCTATTAACCGTTGTAGGCTTCTGTTTAAGTTTTAGTATTTTATAAGGGCAGTTTAAGTTTAGTTTGTTAGTTTGTAAATTTGATATTAGCATATATCTAAGGGCGGACCTGTCCTAGAAATGGTTTTTAATTTTCTTAGTACATTTGTAGTCGTTAATATCTAACTTTTTTTTTTTCGAGATAAAAGAACACTTTTACAGCAATCTTGTGCTGCTTTCTTATGATTTTTGTTATTAAGTAAACAGGAATTTGGCTTTGAAGAAAGTTTTGTCCCTCTCCAAAAATTACTAGTGTGCGGTCGAAGATCTTTTATGAGATTTAATCCCACCATTGAAAAAGTTTTTTTCTACCCCTTTAAATTTTGGGTTTTTTAACATGTAAAAAAATGCCTTATACAAAGATCAAAGTTGGAGGCCATAACGCCACGACTACAGATCGCGAAGACTTAAATATTTCCGACGAAGAATTGCTCTACAGGTTCTTTCTCACCCGAGTAATTTTTTTATTATAATTCGATTTTTTGACTCTTATTAGGCAGCAGAAATTAATTGGAGTTTCCTTAAAAACAGCGGAGAGTCTCCCAACTGCATCCAATGCTTCGCAATTATTAAAAAGACGTCCAATCGATCTAGAATTCGAAGGAACGAGCAGCTTTAAGAAAAGGATGTTTTTGAGGCCGCCAACTCCCTGAAAATTTACTTCACCGTCAAGTGGCAGAATCTTGGCTTTCCTGCTAAATCTTTATACGTTTGAACGTATTCGATGTTCTTCCATTTCCAGGCTTTTTCGTCGGCGTAGAGTTGCTCTAACTTTTTGGGGTGCGTGCTGTCCACCTCCAACCAGATGCTCGTTCCTTAGTGTAGCTAGCATCAGGGCTGCTGTATAAAACATAAGAACGTAAAAAGTTACTCTACCGATTTTCGCGATAACGCTTAAACTTTCTTGTCCGTTAATTCTACGGCAAAAATTTCAATTTACAAAAGTTTGGGGTGATTATTTATATATAAAAAAGGCAGTGTAGCGAGGCTTGTTTAAGTTGTATAAATTGATAAAGGACTCTTTAAGTATTATAATAATAACAAAAAAGCAGCTTAAGATTTTTTTAGTGTACCTATCAAAGATTCGGTATACCGCGTCGAGTCCAGTTTTTCCTCCGTTTAGAGCGTTTATGCTTTCGTAATCTTTTACTTCTGGATCTAAAAATTTGATTTTTTCTGAAGGGATGTATGGAGGGTTGCTTACCTGGAAATTTTTAGTAAATAAACATAGCATAGCTCATAGCGGTAATCCTGTTATATTACTATCAGATCAAAAGCCTCTCGACTTTGGAAGGTGGAGACGTCTGCTGTATAAACTTCAATACTATTTTTTGGAACGCCGAGGCTGTGAAAATATATTAATTTTTATACGTGCTATCAGCCTTTATCAAGCCTATACCGTTTAACATTTCTTTTTGTTAAAGATGTGGCAACGGAATCGATATCTATGGCAGTACACTTTAAGTATTCTTTTAAGGAAAACTCTTTTATGATTGATAGTGTTATACAACCACTTCCGCAACCAATCTGGAATAGAAAGTACCAGGGATTAATTTTGTGTAAGTGTCAATTGTAAACCCTTAGCAGGTTTTGAAGTATAATACATCTAATAGTTTAAATTTGTTTAAAGTAGAGTAAGCGCCAGAACTCTTGAAGCTTCTATACAGGTTGCTTAAAACAAGTTCGACAAGTTCTTCTGTTTCTGGTCTTTAGATAAAGTATAGGATTTGTGTTATATGATTAATATAAGATTCTAAAAGGTTCAAAGGTAAGCCACTAGATGTTATTAGTACCGAGGCACCAGAACGGGTGGCTCAACGAGAATACCTAAGTGCCTAAAAGCCCATTTTCCTATACAATGTTGAACAGATTTGCGTTTCAGCCTTTCATTGCACAGATAGGTGTAAAAGTTTATTATCCTTAAAAAAAAACACTTGAAAGTTAGCAAAAGAATGATAACAAAATAAAACACTTTTGGTTAAGCTCAAAATTTTTATATTTTTCTAAGGACGAAAGATTTCTTAATTCTTGCGGAAACATGGCGTGCAATAGCAAGTAAGCGGCCGAAAGTTTGGACTCAGGGATATTGTTGAAGGCAAAGAAATCAGTCCAAAAGCGAATAAGAGATTTAACTGTCTTACAATGTGCCGGAGTTATAATATAAAGTTTGCATATGCTTTGTTTGTTTCTAAAATTATCATTTTTCTTGATATAATGACTATAAAAAGTTTTACTAACGCAAACATTTTTTTTTAAAAATATGTAAAGCGATAGGGTTAGGTCTACTAAAGGCAGACAACTTTTCAACATAACGGCTTCAAAGAATGCATTTACTTTCATGTAATACGTGGGCTAGCAAATGCGAACAGGCGAAAAACAAATATTAAAAAAAATTTGTGAGCATGCTACGTCGAACTGGAATCTTCTGTGCCCCTGGCAGTCTTTTATTGGCAAGAATTTTGATTTCTTGCTAGGGATATCTAGAAAGTTACGATGAACAGTATTAAAGGGTAATAAAACTATTAAGACTAGAACAATTATTTAATTTCTAGCATGGGGTAAAATCTGATCAACAGAGTCCACAAGTAAATAGTTAAAGTTATAATGTAATTTAAAAGTTGGTGAAAATTTTTTCCGGCTAAAACTTTCTTACTGGAAAGAAAATTAATTTTATTTGCTTTCAATATTACTCATTGCAAGATAGTATTTCGCAGTCTTTTTTTAATTCTTTCTTATGTACTAAATGTAAGCTTAAGAAATAGGCATAATGAAAGCTAAAATTACGTCTAATATTTTTACAGCGAAGTACCTAAAAGACAAACCCAGAAAGTATATTTCAGTAGTAACAATTCTCGTGGGAACAGTACATATTATGTTAATAACTCCTGTACTTTATATTACGTTGTTAATTATATCGTTTTTACTTCTTAAAAAGCTAATTTGTTATAAATTACTAATAGTAACAAGAAATTCTATTCTTTTTAAAGATCCTGCAGTACAGTGGTGGCAAACCTTTTTCTTAAACACCTTACCCCCCACGCACACACTTTTCCTTCTTGCCTCCCCCGACAAATAAAAGTAAATTAAATATTTAACAATGTTAAACTACATTGTTTGATTATTTAAATAAGTTGGATAAAAGGACTTTAGGACTTTACTTTGTTCTTATACACCAACTATTATAGTAAATTTCTGATTTCGCCCAAGCCGATTAAAGAGTAAATCCAGTATGTTCTGGAGCCACTCTATCGATGTACAAATTCGTGATGTAAAAAGGTGTATACCAAAAAAATTAAAAGAGGTTAAATCGATATATTACTTTGCAACGTAAATTTTTAACACAATTTTATTGATCTTTTAAAGAAAAGAAGATGTGTAACTGTAAAGGGTTGGCCACCTAAACTCTATTTTATAAATTTTGCATATATTGGTAGAGTTCAAACAAGTAGTGTTTTCTCTACTTTAATTTCTTAATAAATATTTTTTAAATTTAATTATATATTGAAACTAATTTAATTAAATCATTACAATAATTATGAGGTTATTATTTTGTTGTATAAGAAAAAGAAAAGTTAATATGACACATGACTTATAAAACGCCGTGGTTTAAGTAAAGTTTATAGCATAAGTTGTCCTCACTGTGTGATTTTAGAGAATTATTAATGTTTTTCTAAATATAAAACGCAATGTCTCAATAACCTACAGAATTAGGCATAGTGAATATACAGTGCTACAGGATCCTCTTCTAGCAATATCCTCCACATTTGCCCCTAATCTCGTGACAGATAGTTAAAACTTTTTCCACAACCCGGTATAACCATATATTACGCTAAAATTATTTTTATAATATTTACTGCTTGTTCTTTGTTCTCTTTGTATAAAAAGTCAAGGAGAAGCCTTTACAGAAGTAAAAATAATTGATTTTTAATAGATCTTAAGTAGTTAAAGCACACATTATTTGCAATGCATCTTAATGTAAGTATACATTATATAAAGTTCTTAGTATTTTGTTTTAACTACTATTTCTTAATAGTAGTAGTATTTAATTTTGTAAGCATAATTTAGTTCAACAGTGCTAAGGTCGGTATCCCTAGAGGCTCGTTAGTGTTGTGAATGCTATTTTTGGATTGAGTGCTGGCCTCCTCTAAGCATTTAAGTTTTTAAAGTCTTTGTGTATATCCAATACTCTTATAAAAATTACAGGGCGTTGATAAACAGTGGGAAAAAATTATAAAGTTGGTAGCTAATTTAATGTCATAATATGATATAGGCGGAAGATGTATATGTGAACTTAGGTCCTAACGTGCATTGTGTAGTAGATTCCCTTTAAGATTTAACTTGCTCTTTTTTCATAGAGAGCGAATAGGATTTTAGTCTAAAGGTTTTATTTAGTATAAGTGAGTGTCCCACTTGAACTTGCGGTCAATAATTAATTGAGATACTTAGCCGCGACCACCAGAGGATATCGTTATTAGACGGTTGTAAGTTGCTCACCGGGCGATGCCTTCTTCTTCGCGAGAATACTAGTATATTGCATATATTTATAGAAAACAGTCTTGTTTTGAAACTTGTATAAATGGTAGTGTTATCAGCATACTGGGCAAAGGAAAAATTGTCGTATCTGGATTTCCAGAATGAAGATAGAAAGCAGAAAAGCTAAAAAAAGGGGCCTTGCGATGCATTGGCTAAAATATAGTACGATTCAGAAGTAAGAGTTTACTAATCTTAAAAAAAAATTTTCTGGCTTATAATAAGAACACAAAGAATAGCTAATACTTAAGGAACAAGCATAGTATTGCTTGCCATTACTCATCAGTACAACAGTGTCCCCGTTTGCTTTCGTCTTCGATACTAGCAATGTACGAGATCTTATCACACTGAAATAGCAAGTTTCGCAAAGGTTTCATTCAAAGCATCACAAGCTCTTCTTAGGCGGCATATAAGAATAAACCGCTTCGAAATGTAATGCCAGTATGCAATGCGTAAGCATGAAAGTATTCAAGTTACTTACCCTAAATACTTAAAATGCAACAAAGGTCTTCCTAAAGTCAAATATATCTCGTTACTGGTCCCGAAGGCACAAGACACAAGGCAGGTTAGTAACCATAATGTTTCACCTTAGAAAACAGGTAAGATAGAACCTGCCAGAGGTCTGAAACGCCCGACGCCTTTTAGCCAGGTTTGAGAATATATCTTTCGGTACGTGCGTGAAGCGACCTGCTACCCTCCTTGGTTTATGACCACCCTGAATTTAGTGCTTAGCTAAGGAAGGCGCCGTAGTCACGCTTCACTGGATTTATAGTTATTTAGCTACACTTATGTCCTAAGCGAGCCCCAGTATCAAAAAGGATACTAGCAATAATTTGCTAAGAATGACAATTTAAACAAACAGAAAGCTTTCTGGAACATCGCCCACGACCCCTTTGAAGAGTAGAGGTTACATGACAGAAGCTAAGGTATATCTACATTGCGCATACTTGCCAGCTCAGGATGGCGACCTATTGAGTGCCTTAGATCGAAACCGCGGGCAGCCGCTAGGACTAAGGCGCCGGCCGACGCGCATTTATATATATGGTCGATCTTCTCCGACCGCTTTACGATTACAGCCTAGGGATAAAAAGCAACTCTCGCTCTGTCAAAGAGTGTACACCATTGGACAAAAGCATCCAGAATTGCTAACAGTTAAAGGTCTCAAAAGAATCCTAATGATCCCCCCTATCTACACAGCTGCCAAAATTGGATCTTGAAAGGATCGCGGACGCGTACCCCGCTGTGATTGCAGCCCAATAGAGGATGCGAGACAAGTTCTTACACTAAAAGAGAGGCTGTACAGGAGAGAAAGTGCGCATCGAGATAAAAGTTAATGGCTCTTATCCCTTGAACGAGTTTTCGGAGGGCTTAATTATGCAAAATGATCCTTTAAAGCACATAAATAATGCTGTTATTCAGAAGAGTAAAGCCGATCATTAAGGTCTCAGCTAGGTTTACACTAGCCTATCCGCGAAGGATGTTTTAGCAGTTAAACTACAACACTTGAGAAAATACTTCTTATTTTCTAACTGACTCAAATAATTCTCCACCCAGAGAACAATTCTCCACTCAATGACTATTAATTCTTCATTATAATATTAATTGTCTACTCAATTACTCAAAGAATTCTACATCAATAGAAGAATCCTCTAGTAAATAAATAGAACAATTTGACACTAGCATAGTCCTTACTAACCTTAGCGATGTTAGCAGTAGAAAGTCGCTAGGATAAAGATTAGAGTTTTAAAAAGTTTTTAGGTAATAAAATTGCCTAAATATAACACTGAAATTAAAGAAATTTTCTAATTTCAGTTAAACTTTAATCTTTATCCTAGCGACTTTCTACTGCTAACATCGCTAAGGTTAGTAAGGACTATGCTAGTGTCAAATTGTTCTATTTATTTACTAGAGAATACTTCTGTTCATTGAGGTGAGAATTGTTCTATGGATGCAGAATTACTATAGTCATTTAGAAAGTGCTAAGCACTTGGTGTCGAATAGTCATTTAGTATAGAAAAATACTACGAAAGTACTGAGTACTTTTGAAATAATTCTAATAATTCTACTTTAGTAGAACACAATAAATTACCACACTCTAGAAATGTTAGCTAATGAAAGTGTTCTACTAAAGTTGAACGGAAAAAAAAGGTAGAAAAGTTATGTTTCTCCATATGTGCTTCGTAACAGGTAACACAGGTAATGCCTGTGTTTCCTGGGCGAGCAGATTACATTGTTACTACTTAGTTCAACAGTAGTTCATTTAATCTAACATTAGTTAATCTATAATTTGTTGCTATGACCTAACAATTTCTTTATCGCTTTTTATCTTCTAGGACTTTATAACCGACCTGGTTATAATATTCTCAGCATTCCGAATTTCAATAAAGTTATCATATTCATCAATCTAATGTAAATGTATGCATTAATGGGGAAATTGTTTAAGCCCAAAGTCATTTATATATCTGGATCAAAAATTTTTTGGGTGGAATGTATTTTTATTGTTCCAAAAACAATTTTGGTATCGTAAGTCTCAGCGCTACATTGAGCGTCCGTTCTTCACCAGGGTATATTGGTAAATTAACATTTTGAAAAGAAAATCCGAGTGAGAGCTCGCGTATTCTACCAACAGAAAAGCCTTAGTTTAACGGAGAATTTATGGCGTGATTTTTCGTAGTGTATTGTATATTAGTTAAAGAAATTTTTTTTATTTCAACATGCTTATATCAAACTACCTTCATCATATATAACTAGCCAGGGCTTGGTTAATCCAAACTTCACAGTCTGCAAAAACTATCTTTCAACTTTTATACTGTACCTTAATTTTAGCATTATCATAATTGGAGGCAATTAACTCTGAAAGAAAAATTATCAATCGGTCAGTTTTTTTTACACAATTTAAAAGGCCTCATTTAAATCAATTAAGAAATGATATTTATCAAATAATTATAAAAAGTTTATAATGGTTTTAAAAAAAGCCTAGATTTCAGAATATCAGTAAGCAAATTTTTATAAAACAAATGAATTAAAGCACGTTTGTTCAAATCTGGTTTAAATTAAAGAGACTAGGTAAACTCTTGAAATTTTTAAGTTTCGATGGTTTCTTTCCATTTTGGTTTTTCTTACAAAAATTATCTATATACTGTCCTAGATCTTCAGATTATAATAAATTTCAAATTGTGTAGACATTAATTAACACTATCAAAGGTATTGACTAAAGTTTGTGTTACTTAAATACCCCTCATTTAAGTATTATCAAATAAACAACTATGTGTTAAAAAAAGGTAAGGACAGTAAGTAATTTTGGGCTTGAAGAACGGACCATATCAGGGGATTCGATATATATGCTCTGTTATTGGGTCTCCGTACATTCCTAACGAATCAATCGCACCTAATTGGTGGATGGTTCGTCACAGTGTGTATAGCGTCTCAAAAGAGAGAGCGAAAGTCAAAAAGTTTAAAGTCGGTCTTCGTCTTATCTAATATTAAAACTTGCAGATACTTAAATAAATAGTGTTAAAGTATTTGGGTTGTTTAAAAGGTTTTAGCTTATCAGAAGGTGCCCTCTTTTAGGATACATCTTTTGTTTACCAGTGATTTTTAGGAATACTTTCCTCTCTCCGTATTTAGCTAAAATCTGCTATTATTATATAAAAGTTTCAGTTTTATCTACTTTACAAAATGTCTAGCTGTCTGCCTGCCTGTGACACAAATTATGCTTTATTCTTATGTACAAAACTTTAAATTCAGCTTTTAAAGGCTACTGACGAAGTGAAGCGTGAAGCTTACAGTTCGCTACTCCTCTAAGGTATACCAATCACAACTTTTGTTAATTTTTTGCAGCTATTTTAAAAAACAACATTCTATAAAACACCTATTCTGTGACAAAACATCTGTTTCACTAGTCATAAGAATCCAACAGTTTGCTTATATAATACAACTAAAGACAGTCTCCTATGCTTGCAGTTTATTAACTAAATCAGTGCTATTAGAGACACTTCTATTTTATTTATCGACCTGTCACCCCAACTGCCTTAAATAGATCTATTTTTGTTAGCCCCTTGCAGAAAGGCAGAGTCAAAGTAAACGAATTTATGAATCTGCATCCGTTCTATTTTACTCTTTTATTATAGACAGAGCCATTATATCTTTATTAAGAGCACTTTTAGAATTTTATCTTCAAAGTCCACAATTAACCCCTCATCACTCATTTTTATTAAGCTACTTATTTTAGAAGCATACTAAACAATGGCCGTTTCACTGTTCGTTTTACCTTAACTTTTTTAAGCGCTTTTAACTTCGACTAACAAAAGTCACATACTGCGTTTTAAAACGCTAAATCTGGGCGCTATCCATTATAAATCCCTCTTGTGTTCTTTTAAAGTATTAAACCTCACTTAATATAACTTGCTCCATGCATATTCTTGTTTCTTGTACTCCTACTACTACTCTCCTGGTAGATTTTTGTTGCTCACCGTGCAATTGTATAGCATTTGTCTTTAGTAATATACTCAATTGGTTCCAGTAATGTAGCACTATTTAAAATTTACAAGCTCTAGTAAATTGACTCTTGCAACAAGCTTCATACTTCCTTTTTATTTTTAACACACTTCTCGTTCTTAAAAGCTTGTACTCGCTCCAAACATATTTAAAAGCCTTTCTAACTAAGCTCCCTTTCTAACCATTATAATTTTAAGCCTATTTTTAATGTTATTAAACGACCGAAAGTATAGATTATTTAAAAATATTATGAAGTTTTAAAGCAGGTTATAATAGTGTTTTGGTGGCCTTAAATAGATTTTCAAGGTACATGTAGATCAAAAAACCTAAATACAGGTTTATACTTTTGTTTGCTTTGGTATTAATGAAACAGTTTGTAATAAGCAGAAACCAGGAAATTATAAAGAATAAGTACCTAGTTTTTTTTGCTTTGAATTGAGATTAAATGACTCGAAATAATATTGAGCAACACGTAGTTATCGTTAATAAGCATAGGAGTAAGGTCTTGTAGGCTGTAAGAAAGGCATTAGCGATAGATTGTTATGAAAAACACTTAAAAGGGATGAAGTTTTGGTAAGTTTATCTACTGTTAAAAAAATAGACTAACTAAGGTTTTGGAAGAGTCGCTTATGTTGAAGCTATTTAAAACACAAGTAAAATACTCCGATTATGGTATAGAAGATGGCTTAATTGAATAACTATTATAAGAAATAGATATAGCTAAACTGACTGAGCATAAAATGGCAATAATAAGAAAAGAAAGGTGTGAAAGTTTGAGTCAAGAGTTGTATAAAGAGAATATAAACAAAGTGTATATGGGCGTAAAAGGAACAAGAAACTAATTGTAGGAGACGTGGTACACTTAAAAATAACGATAAAACTTTTGGTGAAAATGGTTAGGGCCAATAGCGGTAGAAAAAGTGTTCCAGACTCAAAGATCTAGGAAATTAAATGTTTCCAAGAAAAGACTAAAAAGAATTATACAAAATAAAATATTCGGTAAAAATATATAAGTAACCTATTTAATATAACTATAAAGTTTATATCGCATAGAAAGAAAGACTGCTTTAAGTACTCGTAGGCATTGAAAAGGGTCCTCGCCTCTATGGACAGTGGAACAGGTATCCAGCAAGAAATACCCTTTAAAATAACAGAGAACGTCCTACATTTTCCACCTGCCAACTACTATAAAAAAAAAAACGGGCCAGCTCTATTCTAAAGTGTCTGTGAAGAAGGTCTAGCATCAACTAGTCGCCGGGGTTTTCTGTAGCGGTGTCTCACAAAATAATCCGGTAGAGTACCATGGCAATACGCAACTTCGCTGCTAGTTTCACGGTAGCATGGTCAGCTGTTCAGTGTACCCTCAAAACTATCAACTGCTTCTTCTAAAAGGGGGGGAGATTAGTCGGTGGATAGCGATGCTTCAACCGCACTCCTCGATTGAGAGCTTAAGGTTTCGCTGTAGCTTTGCCTTCGATCCACTCCCGTAAGACGGGCAGGCTACTCAAACGAGAGCTCATCCATCTTAGCGATCATACCACTAGCAGCTGTCTTTTAAAAGGTTCTATCGAGGACGTCCCAAGTTCCGGTTTTTGCCATGTGCGACGGATGTTAAAAATGCCAGCGCGCGAGGATTGTGGTGGTCCGCGTAGTTCTTAAATTTTTTTCCGTATAAAATTTTTAAATCGATTGTTCCAAGCGTGTTGGCAGTTAGAGTCGCCACAGAGAACGGTGGGCAAGTCGCGTTGACGAAGCTTATCTACTTGTAAGCAGCGGTAGGTCGAGGGGGTTACAGACCGGTAGAGCATCGGTCGTCCTAGTATTAGCCAAGTTGAGAAGGTAACATGGCCCCTAGGCCTTTTAGGTTTAGGAGAGAGCAACCGGTGGGTTCAGTAGTTATTTTTGACAGTATTTTCAAACAGGGGAAAGGGGGGGCCGTAGGAAAGTAATGTGGGTAAAGTAAACCATTCGAGGGACATTACTAAGTAATGTTATAGAAGGGAATGGCATGTGCACCACACCTCCTTTTTATTTGTATTACTCAAAACGTTCATCCTCCGAAAACTGAAGCCGTTCGCGTAGAGCTTTATTCTCAGCCTGTAGAATGGAATGAAATAGAAGGCAAATGTTGACAATAAACAATTTTCCTCTAAAGTTTTCTGTCTTTCGAGGGACAATTGAAGGTTTTCAATAAGACGATCCTGCATATCGTGAGTCTTCTCCATCACCTGCGACCAGTCCCTATTAAAAAAAAACTTAAAACAAAAATTCGATAAGGCGGTTGGCGGGGTGCGCACCGGATCTCGTTCTGATGGCTCACCATTTTATTGTCTAACTCCTCACGCAATTTTGAAACTGACTCTTCAAACTTGCACCGTTTAAGAAAAGGACCAAAGAGGTCTTCGTAAAGAAAGAAACCTCCTGCTTAAGTACTTCCACTCGGAACTTTTGCGCAGCGGCCTCAAGTTGAGCAGATTTGTAAAGCCGCAGCAACCAAGCCATAGGGTCGTGGGAGCCCGGCAATGAGCGCGCTATAATGAGGCAGTAGAGGCACTTCTTTGGAGAGCACGTGCCACTGCACAGTTCTGTTCTTATTGGTCGGAAGAAAGGCCCTAAGCGCATACTGGCGAGCGGCACTGAGCATCTCACCTGAAAGGTCGTCTGTTTGGACGCCGACAGAATGGCGCAAGGGCCCAAAAGAAATGCTCGCAGGCGGACTTTTGGAAGGCTGCCAATAGAAAAGAGATTAACTCCGGGGAGAGCCAAACCCGCCGGTATTGCAAAAGTACTGAGTGCTCCTCAGTGACTTTTTGTGCACGTGCACAAGACGGGTTAGCTTTGCTTGTGTAAACTTCGTCTCGAGTGAGAAAACTGAGCTTCAAAAGAGCATATTTAGATACACCGAGAGGCAAAAGTTATATGGAAAACTGTTCAAAAATTAACTGATCTACGAGGAAGGGTGGGAGTATCTTGGTGAGGCCTTATTTTTCCTGGCGAATTCGGAGTTTCTGTTGACACAATCAAATTAGTAATAATAAAAGACACGGAAAGTGGCAAGTAACTCAAGAGAGAAGATCTACATAACGGTGACTGCGGGCTTCTGGGCTCTCTGGGATTTATAATAATCGGTGGCGTCACTTCGCTATGGGAAAACTGATTAAACTTTTGAGTAGAGATTTTAGTGATAGTAATATCCATATTGTTGCCTGTAAAGTAGAATTATGAATTGCCAGCTTAATATTTCAAAGAGCATAGAACCTTCAGAGAGGAAAGGGGCGCTTTTTCCTTTAAGTTCATTACTATTATTTTTATTATTATTGTTATTAACAATGAGGTGATTTATTTCACCATCTTTACTTCGGTAGGCTGGCGAGCCTTTAACTTGTAAATTTTAAATTGCATCTATATATTATAAAAAAAAGAATAAAACTTTGAATATCTTCTTTGTTCTTAAAATGGGGACTGCAAGAATTAATATCGCATCCGCTATAACTTTTTCTAAAAGAAAGATCTTGCACTGAGGATCTGCTGGGCAACTCAGCTACTTTTGTAGAACGAGAGAGGACTGAAGGCTCTTTAAAAAGAAATTATGTTTTACATTAAACTCGAATCCAATAATAGACTTCTCCTATATACACACCAGTTGCTTGTATAAAGTTTTCTTTTTCCGCTAACTTATTAATTCTGCTTCCTTCCGTAAATAAATTGTTTTCCTTATTTACGTCTGGTAGGATTTTAGAAGCTTTTACACTCTCAATAGAAAAGTTTTCCTTTGTTAAAGTAGCACTGGATTCCAGTTCTGTAATGCTTTTTAAATTTTCTTTTACTGCGAGATCCTCTGCATTCCTCTTAATATAGTTTACTTTATTACCTGTTAAAACTTTTGAAGGAACTAAAGATTTTTTATTTTTTCGTGTTTTTTTTTTAAAGTCATCCTTGTTTAATAAAAGTTAATTAATAGTTAACATAATATATTATTTAATTTATAAAAATAAAAACTTTTTTTAAATCGCGTTTCTTTTTCCATTCTTCTAAGGCTTTGTATCGTTCTTTAACTTTATCTTCCACACTAAGTTTTTTTGTACTCATCATTCAAATCCTATCTTATATTATGAAACTTTTGCGATAGAGAAACGAGCGGAAATTTCTTATTTACCGCTATTAAGACTTCTGCAATTTTGTGTTTAATTAGTACAAAACTTTCACACACCACACAAAAAACTTTCATTGCAAACGGTTTGACCTTATAAAACGCTCGATCGAATCAACAAACTCTAAATTTTCGAGCCATCACAGGGTTGTCTATTATGAGTTATAACGGGTAATGGGCGGAATAGATTTGTTTTTTTCTAATAATTCCCCTTACACTGAAATTTTGCAGCAAACTAACAACTAACGCTAGAAGAGCATTAAAAGGAAGGAGGAATTATTCTCCGCCTACTGATGGAAATTGGCGTGACCAGTTTAATCTTTCGTTTTGCACAGACCATCAGTGAACATTCGTCACGCACAACAGTTTGTTTCGGCACAACTGGGCTCGCCGCGCAATATATATATATATATATACTAGCTAATAGCACTATTATCATACAGTACTTGTACTATATGCTTGTCGAAAGTTATTAGTGCTTGTAGCTATGATACTTGACCCGCCGCTTGGTAATTCGGGTCGTAGTGAATAGTGCTAGTTGCTAGACGATAGTAGATAGTATATAGTATAAGTACTGTGTGATAATAGTGCTATTAGCTAGTATATATATACGTATAGCGCGGCGAACCCAGAAATTGTATTAATGCTACTGAGTCTGCCCTGGGTAACTCGTGTTAAGCATTTGCAACGAAGGTTCTCACTGTATAGAAGAAAGAGATTAACTTTACGTTTGTAGAGTGAAAATGTAATTATTATTTAACCTATAGAGAGATAAACAAAAAATGTGAGGGAAAAATTAACCCGTGTTAACTGATGTTTTTGGATAACATTTTGATATAAAGTGGTTACTAAATGGTTTATAACAGTTAGCTCCCACTGGGATAGCATATGGGTTGCTACCCTTGAAAAGGGCATGTAGTCGGCTAATGTATATAAACGGGTCAGACTGCACTTGACGTATATAATTTTAATTACCTAAAACTCTGCTTAAGTCTTAAGAGAGATAAAATTTTTTAATAAAATTAACGCGGTTATACCATTCTTGCTTTTCTTAATACTAATTTTTAAAGCTAATAACTTCTAAAATCAACAGAAGTTCATAAATTAAGAATCAAGACAATACTTATTGGTCACTATCAATAATAAACTGCCTTGTCCGTACGACAAGTACGATACAGACAGCTTTTTTTTTTCGCAGCATGGGGGGTTGAAAACCCTGTCGGCTGCTTATAGTTCATCTAACCCTTCGCAGTAGAATTAGCTTTTAAACCTAGAAAAGCCCTCGAAGTAAGCCTGGGACCCACCTCGACTAGTCACTTAAAGAGTGAAGCTTTCGCCCTAACAGGAGTGCTGGAGGTTTACCAGCTGAAAATCCCTTTGCGAAAACAATAAAAAAAAAAATAACTTACGAGTGGGTAATACGAGGCAGCTGTACAAGGTTGTACGCAGCCAACCACAACACACTTCTGTTGCCTACTTCGAGTGCAGTAAACCAAGCTTCTGTGCATTATGACGGGTTTGCTATGGTTTTCGCGAGACAATATTTTACATTCCCGATTTAACAATTTTTAATGCCATAATATTTTAACAGATTAAATACGTAAAATCATCCTACCGGAAAGTAGCTCAGCGATTAAGAGCATACTTTAGGCCGTGGTTTGGTTTCCCACCGACGCGATACTCTTTTAATCTGTGGTGGTTGCGTAACAAACTTCGCTCTCATAAAATTCTAAATATTTCTCTTTAGGAACGGAGAGCTGACACCACCGATCCGGCAGGCGAACTTAAGAAGTGGGGCAGTGCTCGCTACACCTCTCCCACTTCTTATACTTTATGTTATTATCAGGGTAAATAAATGGGGGGGGGTTGGTAAAACTGTTTTGTATAGAGACCCGATAAATTTACTTCCATGTAAGCTTGTTTGCTAATACATTGATAAAAGTTTTAGTTAACTGGAGTTTGTTGACTCGGCGGAGCATTAAGAAACAAACCTTCAACCTAAATAGGTAGCGTGTGCTGTAGTTAACATTTCCATCATGGAAGGGGCTTTCCACAGTATGATACAACCCGTTAAGCGTAAATATGAGAAACGTAAAGGGATTATTAAAGACTTAGTCCTATACGATCAGCGATGGTGGGGACTTGATCATTTGTTTTGGGCCTATTGGAAGCTGTTTATTAAAGATATATTATTATTGAAAACCTTCCCCTTTGCTCCGGAATATTTTAGATATTTAAACCATCCAGTATTAAAAGTTCAAATTTTGGGTTATAAATTTTTTTCTTTTTACTTCTGCGTTTTTATATATTCCTCCTATGTTGCATTGTTTAAATATTGTAGGATTTATTGTTTCTGTCGATAACACTTCTAAGTACGTTGCTTACAAAGGTTTTTTAGTAATAATCCTCAATTTTTACTCGATCTTATTTAGTTTAGTTGACGACGGGACGGCTTTAATTCGCTGTGTGCATTGGAGAAGCCCAAAGGGTTTTAAAAAACCGGAACCTGCAACTGGGTTGGAGCTAGGTTTTTTTTACTTCGAAAGTTTATATAAGTAGGATAACTTTATCAGTTTAAATGGATGAGGTTTTTATTATCTTTTGACCTTAAGTTATACCATTATAACTTTAGTAGAGTAATAAACTTAATTTAAATTATAATACTCTGGCTTCTTTTTTTAAAAAACTAAGTTATTGGTAGCTTCTTTTATAGCACACAGAATTTACTTTAGGAAGTTGTTAAAGAGGGCTAAATGAAATGGCCTTGAGTGAGTTCAGTAATAAAAATTTTTTACAAAACGTTCATGCTTTTAGAATCTTTTTTATTTTTTAACAAGCTTTTAGTAATATTTTAAGCTACTTGAGAGTTAAGCTTTCGGCTTCACCTAGAGAAAACACAAGTTATTACGTTATATATTTTTTTTCTTAAAAAAGGGACCCTCGCACTTTTAAAAGGGAAACTTAATACTTACATGGAACAGCGCCAAGTCAATGTCTATTCTATAAGTTAGTTTTTTATTGCAAGTTAATAACTTTTTTTGATGGAACACGTGTAACGCTAACTTACCTTAAGAGGAGGTAAAGGACTGCAATTGCGAATCTTTTTGGTGGCTTGACATCTGCTCGCTAAAAGCTACGGTTTACCGAATTCCCTTATTGCTTTCTAGTAATCTTGAGGAAAATACTTCTTACAAGGATCCCGTAAACCTGTACAAAAAAAGTTTAAAAGTTTATTTTTTTGATATCCCTTTATTATTTTAATTAGAAGTGAATATTTAGATAACCGTAACAAGTTGGTCGCTAAAAAAGAAGTTAAGGTACTTGTTCTGAAGTAAATTTTTTTTTATAGGTGATCAACTTATTATCAGCCCTCCAGCCCTGAAGAGATTTGTTATGATCTCATCAAAGCTTTTGCTATACAGAAAAAAGAATTCTCTTTTGCAGAACTTAAAGAGTCGGCATTGCCTGTGTGCCTGGCCGCTTTTGAAGAGGTTCCCTTATGCTTTTATTGCTTTGGGTGGAATTTAAGGCCTCCATGTTTTTTTATCAGCGTAATTTTTCTAACGTAGAGTGCTGTACGCATCAGATGTTTGTTGGCTTGATACAGAGGCTTGTTAGTGAAGGTATTGCTTTCTGCTATTGACCGGTTTGATGGTTTAATTTAAAGCTGACAGGACTGGTATTTCTTCGAGATGCCGAAAAAGACATCTATGAAGTGGTGAGTACGGAATTCATTGTTGATTTTATGAAAAGAACGTTCAAGTTTTACGGTATGTATTTCCGTCGAGCTGGGGTATACTTTCTATTATTCAATCTCGCACGTAAAGGTCCTACTCTGCTGCTGGGCGATCTTCTTCAATACTGTAAACGCGATAATCGATCTCTTAAACACGTGTCGCAAAAGCGTTTTTTTGAAGCATTGTCTTTGCTTCTTGATGAGAGCGAAATTGTAGAAGTGAGCAAAGACTGCTACAGGCTTTTTGGGGAAATAATGACAGAATTATAGTAAATCAGTAGTAACAGGCGTTTTTTTTAATATTACTTTTAGTTTAACTTTTTATTTCTTTCCTTTTTTTAAGACAACTTTTTACTTTAATTACAAAGTAAGATTCAAAGTTTACTTCTTTGTATTTCTGGACTTTTTTTAAAAATAAATAGGACCTTGTTATCTTGTTTCGCTCTTGTCATCTTCGAATTATAGAAAGTACATGCACTATTAGGAAAAATTTGCACTCATGTGTTTCTTCAGTAACTGAGGGAACACCTGAATTACGCACAAATAATCTATATATAACGACCTTAATTTACTATGATTTGTTATGGTCTGCACCGTAAAAATTAAAAATAAAGAGAGTTTTTAGGGGAAAGAATACTCGATAAAGGTCACTACGTCAAGTCAGAGATTTTTAAATTCTATTAGCTTCCATGGAGGCAACCGCTTAATAAGTTAATCTTCAAGGTCCAGGCTTTTTAAAATTCGCGCTTGAATTTAAAAGTCAGCCTCAATAAATTAACGAAAAGGAATTCTTTCCTGATAGCCAAGATTTTATGAATTCACAAAAACCCTCTAGGGAATAGCTGTAATAGAGACGCTCCTAGTAAACACGAAGAAAGGTATTAGATTAATTCTGCTGTATGCTATTGCATGGTCCTCTTCTTAACTTCTTGTTTATGTAATTCTTTTAATATTTTTTTATTTATTGTAAATAAATATTAATTTTTCATTTCTTCATGAATTTTTTTTGCTTTTATTACATAATTAGTTTAAAAAATGTTTTGCGCAACTGTTTTGGTTTTGGAGATAACCATAAATATTTAAATTTATAATTGACTAGAAACACAACTTTGGCTCTGCACTCTAACACATTTTTTTTTTAATAATTAAAAATTTGATTCTAAAAAGTAAAAAAAAATAATTATATTATAATCGAGAAAATTTTCTCTCCGTTGTACGATGGTTGGGACCCAAGCAAGTAAGTAATGTGGAAATGGGCAGGATTGCATAAATCAGCGGAAGAACCGCGCGATTAATAAAAATGTCCTAAAAAGTGTTATTCACCAAAGTTACGTGCTCGTCTAATTATGTCAGCAACGGGTCTCGTGGTAGTATAGATTCTGCGCAAAATTAGTTTCGATGACGAAAGATGCATCTTTTATAAAGAAAAAAAATTAAAGTTGAAGAAATGGGTAGCTAAGTTTGTTCTAATTGTGCAAGACGTTCTCGAAGTTTCACTACTTGTTCTTCTTCGTCTCGCAATAATAGTGTTAAATCGTTGCGCTCTTCTTCTAACGTCTCCAATTCGTGTACTAAACGTTCTAGACTTTTTGTGAGTTCTTCCTAATTGCTTAATAAAAGATTTCAATAAACACAGAAATATAAATTTAGAAACCTCTTCGAGCTCCCGTTGTTGTGTTAAATATTGCGCAGTATCGTTGAGTGTCTATAAGTAAAAAAAAGTCATCGTACGATAATTCCATTAAAAGAAAAAAAAATAAGCACCTCGATTTCTTTCTTCAATGCATTAAGCTCAGGAGCCTCCGAGTCATCCGGTAGCTTTAGAAGATCGCACAACTGCTGCTGCAGACGTCGAATCTCTTCTTCTTGCGCACGTGCCAAACGCTCAAACTGCGGAGAAAGAAAACTTTGCCGTTCGCCCTTCTGAACTAGTCAGCACGAGGGATTTGGTAATTTAAAAGGTTTTTTTAACACACGCCAATAAAAATGTCACCGTTCTTCTCTTGAAGTTTATCTTCGAAGCACTTAAGCAATGCGGGCACTTCTCTTCGGCAGAAGACGGTAAAGTCATGGTCGAACCATACTTCAGACTCGCCATTTTGGTGGCAGCAAACTTCAAAGTTCTAAGCAGCCAAGGATATTAATTCATAGACTAAAAAAAAGTATACAAGCAGGAACCTCAGCAGCGTTTTTAAAAGGCTGACATGTGGTTAATAGTTTGATACTCCGACTTAGTCTATCGTAATCGAGGCCACCAGGAAAGAGTGGCTCGTGAGCATCTTCTAATAAAAGGATCCACCAGAATTAAGTCTTAAAGAAGAGGAGAACTTGTCCCGACCGTCGCTATAGAGCAGACAGAGGCCTATAGTAAACGAGGTCAGGCCGGAGAGGAACGCACAGTCGAGCTGCGTGGGTGGTTGTGACTGTGACTTTTCCAGCAAGAAGGAACGGATCTCGGGGCCCTCCCGAAGCGCTCGATGTACGGCTACAGGGCACTCCGCAAGAAGAGAACTTAAAAGAAGCAGACCGGAACACCAGATCCGCACTTTTCCAGGCCCGTCAAAAGAGAAGAGGTTTGACAGTTTCCTTATAAAAGAAACGCCCTGCTCGTTAAAGTAAGAGGGCAAATACGACTCCATTAGATTAAGGACGCACATGAATGTTTAAATCCAAAAGGAGGTGCTTAAGCTGAAGGCCCCAGTCGCTGTAAGGCTTAGAGACTCGGAAAGACTGTATAAGAGCCAAACTAGCTAGCCACGAGTCCACGGGGCGCGTAGTATCGAAGAGGAGAGTGGTGAAGGGAAGGCGGTTGTCTCCTTGTTTATACTGGCAAACAGGGTCACTTAGAGAGTCCTCCCTCGGAAGAACGAAAAGTATTAATCGCCGCTGAGGAACTGGGTTGTCGCTGAGATAGGCGCCTAAGCAGTACCTGCGAGGGGAAGAGAAGGCGGAAAACCTTGAGAAAGGACAATGGAGGCGGGGGTTAGTTAGTGGAGCACGTACAGGTACACCAAGCGGGGGTATAGAGTAAGTTGAGGGTTGAAAAGAGGCTCCAGAAACAGTTCGAGCGCTGCCGAACTCCCGTCTGCCAAACAAGCGTACATTGAAGGAGCACTTCTAGCTAGTCAACGCTTAAAGTGCGCAAACCTTCTACGTCACTAAGATGGTCAGGGTTGCTCGTTATTGGTAAACAGCGGCTCATGCTGGCGGCTGCGGACGCCTCTCCAAAAGCCTTTAAAAATGATATAAAATAGAGTAGGCGCATTGTATTCCATGACGCATAGACGACAGGGAGCCCACTTCAAAAAACTGCTGGGCTCGTCGGTTCTTTCGCATGCAGTCGGCTACTAAATACAGTATGGAGACCCGCACAGGTTCCGGAAGCCTTTTGTTTATAAAAAGCTTAACAAAACGGGAAGAAATAGGGACCAAATACCCGCTAAAGTTGGGGCTCCACAAAACGTTTCTTAGTAAAAAGAAGGAGCCTGAAGCTACTGATGATGCGAGCAAAAAGCGAAAGTGCAAGCAAGAGGGAAACCTTGATCCAAAAGAGCATCTTGGTTCACAGCCACGTGGGGATTGGTTTGGTGAACGAAGATCCGAAGAACCGATAATATTAGAAGGTGAGCGGCAACAGCCTCCTAAAAAGAGCTTGAGTAGAAGAGAGCAGTCATTGGGCGGAGCAACCTCCAATAGGGGGCGGCTTTCTAGACTTGCAGCGCAAAGGTTTTCAAGGAAAGGATTTAAGCGGGAGAAGCAGTGGGTTTCTCGGAAAAAATTCTGATTGCTCTTATTGGTTCTTAGAAGTTCATAAATCAAGCGTAGACCTTTTGCAGGTCGGGAGCTCAAAAAATCAGAGCATACATAAATGCAATACTTACTGTTAAGCTGAACGGGGCCTGGGTGACTCTCCACAGAACAGTTGATGTCAAAGATTCTATGTAGAATGCGTAATAATAATTAAAAACGAGTCTCGAAGGAAAAATGCCATAAAGGGAGTTAAAAAAAAAAAACAGACCTTCTGAAGGCATTTTCAAAAACAAGAATCTGTTGTACACTGAAATTAAACTTTGCCAACTGAGTGAGAATTAGTAGAGCGTCAAGTCGGATTGGCGGGCGAGGATCTTCCAGTAGTTCGAGGAGCCTTGAAAGGACTATAAGTAGCCCATTTAGTTACGCAGTAAAAAGTTATACACACGCATATATTTATAAAAGACCGTGAGGAACAGCGATAACAGCATTCTGCACTAGAAAGCACTGATGGTCCAAAAGTTTCATAAGAAGGCGGACGATTGCGATGCGCACCGTGAAGCTCGGTTGTGCTGCTAATTCCACTACCGCTTCTACAAAAGCTGCATTTCTAACAAAAATTTCGATGAAGGCTAGAGCAATGTTTTGAGAACCATAAGATTGGTTTCCTGGTCCAAAAAAATAATTAAATTATTGGCAAATTATATTTTTTCAAAAAGAGCTTTTACAAAAGGAATCCCATATATACAAAGAATGGCAAGTATTAAGAAAACCTTCTTCTACTCCATTGCCTTGTTTAGAAAACAAATAAGAAAATATTTCAATTATGTGTTCCACTATAAATAACTCATTGCGATCTTTTTTTAAGACCTTGTTTAAATATAAAAATTTGATATCAAGTGACAGTAATAATGAAAAAAAAGTGATACAAGTTAATAACTAAAAGAAAAACTCAAAGATCTTAACTTCCCACCTCAACCAATATTTCCATACATTGTAAACCAACTTCAAGTTGATAACTCCCTACCATAGCCCTTATCGCTCGGATGTAATCTTTGCGCTCCTCGGGGGACTGGTTTATTCAAAAACAATAATAAAGTTGAGCTCTTTGTACAATATAATAATACTTTAGAATCCTTAATTTTTTGACAAATAATACTAATAACTTCGGAGGCTTTATCTACTTCACTATTATCCCCTCCATTAACTTTGGAATTAGTAGTATTGCTCCAGTATAAACTCATTAAGAAAAGCCGTGATTTTCTTGTTTACTTAAATTAAGTAAAAACTACAAAGAGGACTTGAGAAAATCTCAAACACCTGAAAAATATTAGCGTTCCCAAACTAATAGACAAGTTAAAAACGAGGAGTAAACAGAAGGGGTATTAAAATAATAGTAAACACTCCCCAACCGGCCAAAGGTTAGGCGCCTGCTTAAGGGATCAGCCAATCATTTAAGGTTCTTCCACGTCCGACATTTTGTATTTATGTAACCAATTTACTCGGATTTCACCCCGGTTATACACGTATTGCACTTTTGTCTACGTATCGTGTCTTCCGTATATGTTGTGTACATATTACGAACACTTATTGTTATAATATAGTAAACATATTTTAGTTAATACATTTTGTTGTTTAAATCCTTTTTGGTGGAAATTAAAGTTTTTCGTTATCAAACGGAGACTTCAAAAAGTGTTAAACGTTATTAAGACAGCAATAGTCGTTGTAAGCATTCGAGCACAAATATAATAGGTGATACTTAGTAAAAGAGGTCTGTTTGTTTACTTATCTATAATAAAAACAATGTTTTTCTGTATTTAACACTATAATAGAATTAAACTGCAAGCTGTTGTACCTCACAGTAGATTTTTGGTTTGTTCATTTTAAAAAATTTGACCACCAAAACAAATAAAGCTGAACTAGTGACTTCACTTCTAGAATTATTAAGCATACAAATACGAATTTTATCGATTTATGTGTAAACTCTGCGCACGTGGCAAATAAAATTATTGACTATTGTTTTAAGGTTTAAGTTACTACCTTCTACAAGTAAGCAATTCCACTACTCACCAAGAAGAAATTATGATCGGAAGGTTACCAAGCCTTCTAATTATATCTTAGTTTTCTCTTTGCACATGTCATAATGAAAGGCACTTATAAAAAGCGTTCTTCCTAGGAACCTCTAGCTTTTTTAAAAAAACTTTGTTACTTAAGAATTAACAAGTAGTAGGCCCCGTAGTAGGTGCCTCTAATGCTGAGTTACCACTGCTATTCAGCTGGCGAATAAGCCTTAAAAGATCAAAAAAAAACCTCGAGGCACCCTTCATATGAAGTTTCCTTTTGTTTGTCTTTAGTTTTAGCTCTTGACATGCTTGTAAGTGAAAGCGATTCAGAAAAAAAACTTGTGCAGCTGAAGGGGTTGCTTTCTTTAGATAAACCTGATCTCGAGCGTTGCGGTCTTTTACTTAGAGAACTGAATATCGATTTCCTTGATAAAACTTTTTTACCCATTGTCGATGAAACCAAGTTAACGGAATTGCACTTAGCTAGTAAACGCTCAAAAATAGTTAATTTCTATTTTAACCTCCTTTTTATATCTATAAAATAGGGGACGTATTAGAATGTGGAGCTATATGGTGTATCTTAAAAGAAGATCACCAATGTTTTAATAGATATATGGCACAGTTGAAGCACTTTTATTTTGATTTAAAGTATATATATTTTACTTTGTTTCAGCTTATGAGAAGACTGCTTGTACTTCCCCGACTAAGTGTTATATAGTTTTTAGAAAATATTATATATAATTAGACAACATCTGCCTACGTCGCCTAGGCAGTATGAGATCATTGGGGCTCATTTACTCAATTTACTCTCACAAAATCGAGTTCCCGACTTTCACTCGGAAGTAAGCAACTATTAGTACACTTAACTCTTATTGAATGTTTTTTTAAGTTGACCTTAAATTAATAAACAGCCTTAATTTTTTTGTTACCTAACTTCTTTGGTTTAGTTGGAATTATTAGATTGTGCTTCGCTTCATAACAACCGGTTTCTTGCTTACCCTGTTCTTTTAGAACAGTTGGTTATATTTAGCTTGTATTTTTATATATGTAAACTTACTATATCTTTTTTTAAAAGATACATTGTGGAAGGAAGAACAAATAAAGCCTTTTTCGAGGCTTGTCAAAACCCCCCAACCCCTTACTATGCATTTTTTTCCAGGATTCTTGAAAATACTACTCGGTACCTTTATTGTCTCTGGATTAAATTCTTTTTGGTTTTTAGGTTTTGATTTACATCTTTTTTAATTAATTAAGAATCGGGGTAAAAAACGTGCTTTTTTTATTTGATAAAAGCTAACTTGGATTTTAAATTTGTCCCAAACTGCTTTGGTCAAGTTGTAGTTATATTTATATATATAATTACAAGAAAAATTTTAAAGACTAACAGTTACTATCTTGAAATTTCCTCTTAAGGCGTTTTATATTTTATTATACTTGTGCTTATAATTTATTAACTCAATCTGCTTGCTTTCAGTAGCGCACGGAGAAGTGTATTATAGTTTTTTTTCAATGTTTTGCGCACGTGCTTTGAGCTCAGATTTCTTATTAGCATGTATTCAAACGTACAGTAGAAATATGGCAGTGTGCATAGAAATGTCCTTTACTTGTATCCCGAAGGAAGACGTAAAGCGGATCTTTTTTACCGACGACGATCAATTTATTGAGGAATTAGTAGCGGAGGTGAGGCCTCAATACCGCTGCGTTGGTCTATTACTTATATAATTTTAATTTGCAGCGACATTGGATTCTTGAAAAAGGTATCTACTCCTTTCCCCAGCAGACGGCTCTTCAGCGAACCGTCCCGTCGCACAATCTAATAGAAAAGGCCTTTTCTTATGCTACTGAGCTTGAGCGCATCATATAATAAAGCTTTCGTATTTGTAAATTATACGGCGGCTAAGCGTGGCGGTATCCCGGGTGTGCAAACCTGCACGTGTAATAGGCAGAGATGGAAAATTTAGAATTTTGTAAGCTAACTATCTTCTTTGACGTTAATGACTTACTCAAAAAGTGCAAATTAAGATTTATGTTCAATATGACCGCCGAGCAAAACTCTGGAGATCAACATATTTATTACAAAACAAGGCCTGCAACGTCGAGCAACATCGATGGGTGCTCACAAAGGCACGTGAGAAAAGAGGTAAGAAACTGATTCCCCGTTATGAGTTCGACGGATGGCCTCCGCCAAAATCCGGGCGATGTCTAATTGTCTCAAACGGGGGCACTGCGCCTGTAATTGGGGTGTGACAAACTGCTTAGAAACGGAGTAGCGTTAGCGAATATGCATAAAAACCATTTTTTCCTCTACAGGAATTGTGTTGGTCACAACGATGGACTCGAGAGAGGACGCATTGAGTCGGGCCACCGCGTTGCCGCTCAAAACGCCATGCGTGACGATAGCGTGAATGCTTAGAGCGCCCGCATCTTTCAATTTACCAGCTGCAATGCACTTCAAGTAATAGTAAAGAGATAACTGCTCTGCTGGGCAACATAATCTTTAAGGAGCCCACCAGAGTGCCGCAGGTGTCCGCCATGTCGTCCACCAGGACAGCTATTTTATCTTTGACGTCCCCTACGAGAACCATACGGGCTACTTCGTTGGCTTTAGCGCGTTCCTTGTGGATTAAGGCAAAGTCTACGTTGAGTCGGTCGGCGATGGAAGTCACCCTTTAAGGTGCAAATTTGTTAAAGTTTAAAAGACGAGAAGCGCAAAACTCAAGTACCGCTTTGCTCCTCCGGCATCCGGCGAAACTATGCAAATTTTGGTATCTTCGCCTACTACGAGTTGCTCCGTTATGTACTTCAGAATGGCTGGTTCGGCGTACAAGTTGTCTACGGGGATATCGAAAAACCTTTTTTTTTAACGAAGTTTAAGCCAAAAGAAATTACAGGTAGAAAAGCGAAGGGAGAACCCCTGAATTTGAGAGGCGTGCAAATCCAAAGTGATGATGTGGTCGGCGCCGGCAACAGAGAGCATGTTGGCAACCAGCTTAGCTGAAATCGGTGCTCGACTATGAATTTAAAAAGCAACAGGTTTATGTATTAGCGGTCACCATAAAAAAGCGAGGGGAAACATGCACCTTTTATCTTTTTTGTCCTGACGGGCATAAGGAAAGCAGGGGATAACAGCAGTAACCCGGCAGGCTGATGCCGTTTTGCAGGCGTTTATAAGAATTAGAAGTTCCTGGAAATTGAGTAACCGAAAATATTATTATATAAAACACACGCGATAAAGAGTTTGCAACTTATAAAGGGCTCGTTCTATATAAGAAGGCATTTGTGATTAATAGTATAGGAAAAGGAGAGGAACGCCGAGGGTTAAAATATATATGAAGTAGAAAAGAAAAAAACTATTTTAAGAAAAAGTTAAAGAGTAAAGTTAACTATTTGATAGTAAGTAAAAACGTAAGTGAGGCTCACTACCATAAGATTATCGTTAACGTCTCCGCAACCACTTTGAACCACGTATACATCTTCATCACGGACTGATTCCTCGATAGAAACGCTTTCAGGTGTATATTTTAAAAAAAGATGAATATCTTTTTTATTATAAAAAAATAACTATAGATTTGAAATTTGCATAGAAATATAGGTAACTAAAAACAAATATCTATTAAACTAAAAATCAAAGAAAAAACCTCGTTTCCTGGTTAGAAAATTTGCCAACTTTACATCGACTTAATTCTATACCCAAATGATTACAGATCAGTCGAGCTAATTTTGGGTGTGAGTTACCCGTAAAAACTATTATACAATAAGTAAACTGCTCAATTCTTTAGACGGTAGCTTTTGAAACCTTTAATCGTGTGCATTTCTTCTTTTAGTATTTTTTTCTTTATTTCTTTATTTCTTTTCAAATTTTTCCATTGAGTGGAAAAAATATTCATTTAACGTTTAAAAGATAACATTTTGGGATGCACTTGAAAATTAAACCGCAAAACTATCTCAGGGCTAGTGCGTGGAGGGGTTGGTTAATTTTTTGAATGGCATAGCCTCATGACACCTTTATGACGTCTGTACAAAAGTTTATTTGTTATATCTTCTCTACTCACTTTCTATCGTTACAAGCAATAATCTTGAGCATTTAAAAAAATTAGTTTTGACAATGCCATGTAGTCAAGATTTATTTGTCGGTGTTCTTTTTTCTTTTAGTGTAAGACTATACTTTCAATGACTAAATCACCGCGCGAGGAAAAAAGTTTCTTGGTTGCTCATTAACAGTTTTTCAGCAACTTTATGTCACTAATACTTGCTAAAGTAGCCTTTGAGAAATTTAAAAAAAGAAGAAAGAGTTAGTCTTTGTTTATGGTAAACATACAATTATGCTAGAGAGCAGATGGAATGCATGGGCGCAAGAAGAAAGAAAAGATCTCTTAGTTATTGCGTAATGCTCCTTAAGAAGTGAAAATGTCTTAATCGTTATAAAAAAAGTAAGTGTAGAAATAACTTGAACTGTATAAGGGCTCTCAGTGTACCTTATCCGTTAGGCTGTAATTGCTGGGGGTCACTTAAAAAGTTGTATAAATATATCGGGTTTACAACGCTGACACGGAGGGAACCTCTTAGCAAACTCGTATAAATTTTTGGACAATAATTTTATTCTAATTTGCTTGAGCGAGTCATTGAGCAGGTGCCGCCCTTAGTACGGAAGTATTCATTGTACATAGTGATAATTTGGAGAAGGGTTTTTAGAACTTTTATCTTAAATGCTTTCTTGATCCTTGAGGGAAACAAGCAAAAATTACAAGCGAGGTTTGCCGAGGAAGCGGTATGATCTTTTTTACGGGTGTACTTTTCAAACTTTTATGTTATTCAGTATAAAAGATACGTACAGGATGGCCACTTGTAATTATGAGATACTGCAAACCTCAGACAAGTTGTATATAATAAAAATGCTTATCCATTTTTTGCCACCATTAAAAAGGTAATATATTTTATTAATTATTTATTGGTGCTCTTGCTAGTTTTTTAATGAAGACCTTTTGGCGGAGCAAAGCTTTAACCGATAGGAACGTATAATCTTACACAAAAGTTACATCCCGTATTACCTTTATACTATGCAATGGTTAAATTAACAAAGTTAAAATTATTTGTTTACTGAGGCCAATTATTGGGCTACAATTAGAGCAAAAAATATAGGTACCTTTTCTATATATTTTTTAATTAAAAACGGTTTTCTCTTTTATTTTTTATTACACGCAAAAAACTTTGATATTTATAACTTTTTATCAAGTTTCCTGGTAATTTGCTTGAACCACAGTTCTTTGAAAAGTAAAACAAATCCATACAAAAAGTAAAAACGCAGCCCAGAAAATTAGTATTAGCTCGAACTGTTTTTTGTTTAAAAATAATTAGTCATAAAAAAATTGTCCGTTTTTTTTTACCGTGTTTGTAACTTCGTTCGAACCCAAATTTTTGGAAAGCAATAGAAGTCCTGCTTAATGAAGATATATTACTATTGTGTTTCTACTTATATACAACTAACCTGAGTAGAAGGGATAAAGAGAAAGTAAAGTGCATATCCACCCAAAAAAATTATGGATGGCTTCCCATTTTTGCCGAAGTTTAGACGGGGTTTCCGAATTAACTATTTGCGAAGAACTAGCTCTGGGCTTAAAAATTCCATTTAGGATTTGAGCGATCTAACGTAGTGTTGCATAAATATAATTTTCGTTTAAGTGATCGGATGTATTTTTGACTACTAACCAGCAACGTGTAGATGCTAACTCCCACAATGGAATGTAGATCTGTAAAAATTTTTCTCCTTCCATTGCTTATCACTAGCGCTAGGCCTACAAAATTTTTAAGTATTTACCAGCATTACTAATTAGTGTACCTATGGTAGCGACTAATGCAGCTAAATTAGAAAGAACAATATGAATTTTTATAATTAAAGGCCTAATTTCTTTTTTTTTAATTATGAAGGGTAAAAAGATGGCAATAGGCATTATTAGACCTATTAATAAAATGTAAGAAACATAAGACGTATATATGCAACTTTAAGTACCCCAAGTAATGCTCATTAAAAAAACATGGGCTAAAACTCTTTTGTCAACGCTGAATACTGAAACTTCTCGATTTACTTTGATTCTTTTGATGTAATGACGTCCTTCACTTTCCTTAATACTATTATTTAAAACGACTAAAATAAATAAAGTTAGTATTTTTTTATGTTAATTCATCTAGAGCTTAGCCGCAGTAAATTACCTGAATGGGGGGTATGTTGTGCTGATGTACGTAAAGCACCTTGATTTCCATGTTGCCACCGTGTGTTCAACTTGTTAAAGTTATTTCCGCTCTCTTTAAATCTTCTATTTCCTATTAGGTTAAGTTATACTAGAAAAAACATAAATTTAAAGTTAGTTAACCTCTTATGGTATTTAGCTGTTCTCTGGTGTCGTCAATACTGTTAGAAAAAACAAATTTACACAAGTTAAAATACCAAGCTATTATAACTAATAAATAAAAACAGTTTAGTATCCTCAGTAAAATCTCATTAGCTTGAGGCATTTCAATTTTTTGATGTTTATAGAGATTGACATCTGGAATAACAATTTTGGCGTTTCCAAGTAAAGTAAATCAAACCAAACAATTATACCCATTTAGAGCGTAACAGCGCGTTTACCAGCATTAACCTCTTTTTTTAACTTCATACTTACTTATCCGCTTTAGATATAATTTCGGCACTTGACTGGTCACCAAGCTATATTAATTAAGCATTAAACTTAAAAACTAGAATTAAAAGTGTAGTATCTCTTAAGTGGGGGAGCAATGCTCAGTGTTTACTATTTCTTCCCTGCTTAAAAGATTAATATTAGGTTTTCAAACCTTATATTATTCTTTTTTATTATTCGGGATTAATTATTTAACGCTCTTTTTTATAACTTTTTATTAAATTTTTATGAAATTGGCTTTTTGTTTGCGTAATAGCTACTTACTAGTTAATTAGAATAATTTTATTATGATATTATTTTTCCAAATTAATGATATCACCTTAATTTTTAGCAACCACCGTACTGTTCGAAAGGTCTGCCGTTCTGGTTTTCATTGTTATGCATAAAGTTATTATTGTTATAATTTGCAAAACTATAACTTGAACCGTTTCTACCACTTAAGAGGAGTATACTGATATTTATTCTTTTAAAAAGCATTTACGGGTCGTAGAAGTTAACATAATTTTTAATTGTAGCTCTTAATGATCATTTTAATAAGATAAATTAATAGCTTTATCTAATAGGTTTTTATAAGCATAACTGGGAGGAGAAGTTACCCTGCAGGATTTATAGGCCGTTTGTATAAAGTCTACAGTCAAGCCTAGTAAAGTAATTCACTAAAAATGGTGGAGGTTTTTAAATTACCGTCAAAGTATTAATTATTAAACTATTTTTACAAGATTTAGGTTTAGTATATCATGTTTTAAAGATTCCTCTGTAAGCAATCCGGACGCTTTAAACTCTAGTAAATCTCTGTGGCGCACTAAAAGACTGTGAATTGTATTTTATTAATGTCATTTAACCTAAAAAATGTATGATTATTGCACTAGCGGACCATATATACAAACATGTACACTTAATAAAAGAATAATGGAATTTTTTACCTCTTACGCGCTTCTCTGCCCTGTAGTCGTTCTTTTTGTCTACAGGGCTTAGTTTTAATTAAACCTGAAACCAAAACTAACCAATCAAACAAAATAAACTCAATGAGTAATCAAAAGGGGTTACTAATACGAAGCATTATTTATTAAAATTATATATATAGCATAATTTAAATACTGGACCTCTAAAAGCCCCCCTATAAGCGCCTATCCGATAAGTAAAAAAACAATACAGTTCACCCTTTCCTAGTTGTAGGCCCCAACCTTTACATTAAAAATTTTTAAATCTAAAGGATAAGTGCTAATCTTAAATGAATTTTTGAAATGAATATTAAAAATGGTTTTGTATTCATTCGTGAACAAATTTTAAACTTTCTAACAACCTTTTTTCGCCTCCGTTTTTTTCTAGCTCTGGCTAACCACATTGACTTGAGTTTGCCTAAAACTTCGTTAACGAATTCATGCTACTTCTTCGGCTTATTTAAAACAAGGCTCTCAACTGGATAAACTTAGCAAGGTAACCTAATTTACTTAGCGTGCACCGAATTAAACGAAAAAGTAGAGATGCTTCATAGCCGTTGGGGGAAGAGATACCCCTCCGGTTAAAAGCTATCTTGTAATCACTTCTGCATGGGGGCTCGGGTATTTTCGAAGCTTTTTGACTCGATCGAGCATCAGGAACTGTCAATTCTTAAACAAATAAGTACGAGACATTGCTATCTGCTTTTATAATGATATATGTGCATTTTATATGGACTTTATTAATTATATTTCGCAGTACTTGTCAGACTTTTTTAAAGCCGAAAAACGATATCCAGACGGTAAATATGCCTGTGATTCGTAAGTTGTTTCATGTGTTTTACTTGGTTGAGATTTAGCAAGTTATCTTAACTTACGAAACTGTCATAATTAACTGACTTATTACCTCTATAGACGTCTACCTCAATGTTACTTTACCTTTTTTAACCTAAAAATTACTTTCTATTATAGCAGTTATCTTACTGAAAATATGTTGTTTTTGAGACTTTTAACTTTTATTTACATTTTCATTTTTAGTAGTAAAGGATTATTGTAATAATTTAAGTATCCATAGTTAGAAAATATTGTATTTTTTTTAAGTTTCTCCGTTCTTTTTATTTATAATAAAGGTCCAAGTATAGAAGGTAGCAATTCAATAATTAGTTTAGCTACCATAATTTTTTCATGTTATAGTCATTATAATATTTTTTAAAAAAAATAAGTTTTAATGCATGCTTTCGCGGCTACAGCCTCTTTCTATAGCAATGTAAAGTAATAGCTATTTGTTAATAATATCGGATTGAGGAATGATGTAATGGAGTGCATGATCAATACTGACTGTATGCGCCAAGAAAAGAAGACTGCTGCTCAGTGCTTTAAAGAAAAAAAAGCTCCGCAGCGGTGTTTAATTTTAAAAGATTTGTTTTTCTACTGCAAAGCTCAGCTGGTATGTTTACGTTAGAATATTATTCTATCAATAATATACTTACCTATTATTTTTGTTAGATTGATTCTCAAGGTCGTTTTCAGCACGGAAGATACGACTAGTTTAATGTGCTAAATGAGTTTTACTTAAATAAAGATTTGTACTAATTGGACGGCCTAATAATATATAACGAAATAGAGAAAAATATAACTGTGACAAAAGTATTAGCTTATGAATCTCTTTAATTTAATAATTATTAAAGTCAGTTTTATAGTGGCAATAGTGTACAATCCTTCAAGGTAACGTAATCTCTCTAGACTACTTCCCATATAATAATTTTTATACTGTCGACTTCAATATATTACGTACTATATGCGTAAAAAGGCTCAAAAACCTTTTTATTACAACCCCGACTTGCCCCTATGGCCCAAAAATTTAAGTTCTAGTTCACCGTAGTTACGAAATATTAGACTATTATCGAGTCTTTCTGGTCGATCTATAATCTTCGTTTTTTAACTGGAGATTAAGTATTTAAAACGTTTCCTGTAACTTGACTCTACTTTTGTTGGTAACGTGTCGTACGCTAGCTGCCTTATCGTTTTCCTATAAGTAAAACCGGGACAGAAAGGCTTACTAAAACTTTCTAAACTAGTCCTACTGTCAATGTTAAATTGACTAGAAACTGGGGTCACCACTTAAAAAGAATTGGACTAGTGCAAAGCTATACGTATTAAGTGTTATCTTTTCATTGAAAGCATTACTCCGTATTTCTTGATTAACCAGTCGTTAATTATAAAAAAAACTTTCACATATATATTTATTGGCTTTAAAAAATTATCATTTTCTATTAAAAAATTAAATGATTTTGAAGTGTCGCTTTTAGTTCCTTAGAAGATTGAAAGAGAAAAGTTTTTGTTTCAATAGCCCACTAGCAAGATTAGACTTCCTGTAACATGCATTAATCGGATATTGATATTCAATAATTTTTTTTTAAGTTTTTACCAGTTAACTGTATAATAATAAGAACTACCATACATATGTCGAACCTTAGTTAAAACGGGTCAAAACCTGTGGAAAAAAAAAATCTGTGGTTCCTGTTGGGGAACTTTATGTTAGCATTACTTAAACACTTTGTCATTCAAAAACGCAAGTAATTAACTTGAAAAGAAAAAGGTTAACATAATTCTGTTTATTTAAACCATTAGTTTTTTGTTGAAAGTAATCTCAAATTTAAGAGTTTATACTTAAAATAAGTATACTATTAAAAACTACCACCAAAAAAAAAACGTTTTTTCTTTAAAAGATTTTGTTTTTGCAAGAAGAAAAGCGTTTAGGGAACGAATTTATTGGCAACTACAGCTCAACAGATACGCAAGTTTTTGTTAAAAATTTCAAAACTTGAACAGGAATAAACTCTGCAAAAGGATTAAATTTTTATTAACTAAATAATAAGCTCTGGAACCATAAAAAAATCTACATGAATAAAGTTAAGTCAACCTTAAAAGTGGTATGGGACAATTCCCATACTTTCCCATTTCTCATAAGTTATATCAAAACTTTATTGATTCCTGTTATAAAATTGTTAAAGTCTACAATTTAATTTAATTAGAGTAGTTGCTCCTTGGGACTTTAAGGCAAAGTGTTATAATTATTACCAGCACATTCGAGTTTTTAAAAAAACCGATTTATAAAACAAAATTAAACTTTCCGCTCGTCGGTGCCGTGCCAAAGCCCGAAAACGTGGACTAAACGGCGCTAAAAGACATGGTAGTTTGAGTCCTGTAGTCCAATTTTTTCTATATTGTGTTAGTCACGTGTGTCCATTTATTAGCATGCCACGGGTATAAATGTAGATAGCACACCCTGAGGGGGAATTTAATTATTTATGCTCTGTTTCCTGCGTGGGACGTGACATGGCATCGGGCGATTACTGTTTTATATATTGTTTGTATAATAGATTTTTCTGCACATTTATTCCTTCCTTGGGTATAAATATATTTACGCCTTTATAGCCACTACCAGTGATACTGCCATTACGCCTAATCAACTCTAACAGTTTATCCGTAAATATAGAGGATGGGCTCTTTATATTTACCTTTTTTTATGAAAATTTTTGCTACAAGCAACGGTTTTACCTGATCTCTTTATACTATAACTAAGAGTGAAAGGTAATTATAGTAGCAATTATTAAAAGTTCTGGAAGTTTTACAACTTAGTAAAAATTCAAACTACAAGTTTTGGGGTGTAGAAAACAACTTATTAGTTAAGCACTTTAAAAAAAATACTTAAAAATATTAAATTAGTAAACATTCCAAATTTTAAAAAAATGTTAGCATAATAATATAGAACGATTATGTGCCGAAAGTGAAGATTAATTAACAAGTATTCTGTAAGTCATTATTTTACTACTAATAGGAGTTCTCAGTTTCAATTTAAACCATAATTAAAGTTAAAGAGAAATTGGGAATACCAAATCTTAGAAAACTTGTAGTTTCCTTTTATTACTAAAAAATACATATAAAAGTTATAAAAATTGTTGTCACAGCTATATATCTGTTATCCATTTCTATCGGCATCTAATAATTACGTATTTGCTCAAAAGAGATACCAAGCTTGAGAGAATCAGCTCAGCTTAAATTTTTTTCAATGAGTGACTGTAAGAGTTAAGGGTATTAGCCATAGCAACGTAACTTTGCGACTCTAAGACCTCCATTCCTCAAAGAAAGTCTTTACTCGCCCCTCCAATAAGCAATAAAAGAGATGAAATCTGTCAATTAAAAGTATAAGTAGTTTTTTTTTCATAGTTTTGTTACAAATATTTTACTATAGATATTTACTAAATTTAGTTGCTAAAGGAATTAAATCTTTTGCATGTGTCAGCCTGAGCTCAAATGCTAATTGCCGATGCATAACTTATAAAAAGGAGTAAATAATTAAAGTTAAACTTTAGTTATCAACAAGAATGGTTCCGAGAGTACAGCAGAAACCTGTTTCAAGTCTGTAGTCTTACTTACATGGATTCCCGCTAACTTCAGTGTGCTTCATAACCGCCCTAAAATTATCTGCGATGGCCTGCATGCTGCTCAAGGCATATGATCATCGCAAGCAGGCCAGAAACAACGAGCAGTATCAAGCGAAAAAAAGAAAAATCAAGTCGCGTAAAGTTATCATTTTTTATTTTGAGATTTTTTAAAGTTTTCTTTGGTTTCTTATTTTAAGTTGATATAAAATGAATAATATTAAGAATTAGCATAAAAGTAGTTTAAAATAACTCCAAAGAAGAAAGTAATTGAGGTGAGCAGGTACATCCAAAGCGAAGTAGTCGGTCTCAGTGTCTTTAGTAACAGCAAAAACAAATGTTATTTTCTATCGCACTGTAAAGAAACTTAAAGCCCACTAAGGAGTTAACATTAATATTTAGTCAACATCCGTATTTTTAGCACTTAGTTAGTATTGCCCATCCAGACCGAGTGCGCTTCACTCAATAATCGCTAACAATCTTATTTACCTCGTTTATGATAGTTAACATTCGGCACTCGTCTAAAGGAATAAATTATAATCAGTTGAGGAGACATACATTGGGCACAAGACAGCATAGAGTTTTACTTTGGTTTAATAGCTCATGTTACATTAAAGTTGATGAAGTATTCTCTCAGGTCCTGACTAGGTTGACTAACTCTAGTATGAGTAAGACCCTTGTCACCTATCTTCTATACCCTCCTCAACTTGACAAACTTAACTAATTTCTTAACGCCCTATCAGCTTATTCTGATGTGCTGGTATAGACATACTCGGCGGTAGTTTTATTTAAATGCGCGAAGAAGAGAATTATCTCGGAAAGGTGCCGACTCTCGCAAAGCAGTCAAACCGTTATGTGATAAATACCATAGGACAATAATTGTTACCGTATAACTTTCATGTAATGAATAAAAAAATTTTGTGTCCCGATTCAGGTGCATTACTAACATATATTTTCTCGCGAAGCTCAATAAAATTAGACATCTCGTTCTGCTTCTTCCTCTTGCTTGTTTTTATTTTAAGAAGTTTAGTTAATATGTTTTATTTTATTTAACTATAACAATACATGTCGTCATCGCGATAGTCGAGCCTTTACCGCACTATAGAAATTTTGCAGCGTCGCCAGAATTGTAGGGAACCCTATCAAGCAATTCGGTTATTTACACCGATATGTAAAAGACCGAGTAAGGTCTTCAATATTTCTTCTCGGCGCCCAACTGGAGTAGGACCGATACTATACCTCTGGTGGACGCATATATATTTTCGGCACCAGCAGCGCTGTTTCTAATACACTTTATTCATGTTCGTCAGCGTAGGTATTAATATTATAGCCGTTCTGGTTCGATTTAAATTCTCTCATAGAGGCGCTATAAAGACATTTGTGAGTAGGATGGTAGCAATGGAAGACCTAAGTTATTTTCTAAGAGGATGACAAAATGCAATCACAGCCACGGGCTATGACTGACCAAGAAGCTGTTAACTACATGTC